CTTGTGGTTCAGGTGCTTACTTATGCAGGAGAGTATGTTCTGAAAAACATTTTCACTGGTTTCTGCAGCTTTTAAGTTACACTGAGAAATTAGTGAAAGTAGATTTAAAAGGAAAGCTCTTGATCTAAATAGTAATATTCAACTAGAAATATCTTGCCCTAAAAGACTGCTGTACTTCTTTTGGGTTTCACAGCTGCTGTTTCTGCAAGATTCTTCAAGAGGTATAAAATCATTCTCTGCACCAAGGAATAACTTCTTCTTAGGCCAACAGCTAAGCATAGGATCCATCTTCATAAATGATACAAGCCCCAGGCTTCAAACATGTTTTGCAAAGGAAAGGTCAAAGGAAAGATTAAACTTCTTTCATTTCAAATTCTAATGTTTAAGATATTGACTGGAATAATAATGATTCTGTGACCTTTTGGCAATGTTTTCAATAAGGCATTGCAAGCTTTACTTTCTTGTTTCTTCTGGCATACAGGAGAAGGAAATCTTACTGAATGACTATCAAAAGCAAATGAACAAGTATTCCAGCAAACCAAGAACATATCAATGCATAAGTGGTGGAAGCTAAGCTCCCACACATTTTCTTGTTCACTGTTCCCACAGTCAGATGTACAGAGGAGAAAACAGAAAAAGACAGAAGCGAGGAAAACTCACTGAGATAAAAACAGCCTAATAAATGAAAGTGAAGAATAACAGAAAACCAAAACGCAAGTGATGCAGAAGTAATTACTTGCCATCTCCTACCAGTGGATCAATATCCAGCCAGTTTCCAAGCAATGGCTGCTCTTAGAAAAATTCACCCTCTCTTCCTCCCTGTGCTTTCACCTGAAATTTTATAACATGTGATATCATATGGCATTGAGTATGCCTTTGGGACTGCTGTCCCAGCTATGTCCCCTCCCAGACTCTTAAAACCCCTAGTTTATTTGCTGGCGGGGTGGGAGAGTGAGAAACAGAGAAGGCCCTAACTGTGTAAAAAACTGTTAGCAACGGCTAAAATATTTGGTGTATTATCAGCATTATTTTGGTCACAAATTTACAACATTCAACTAACTACGAAAACACTTAAATCCATCCCAGATGGTACAATAGTTAGGCTGTATGGATTGTGAGAGAAGACTGCTGTCAAAATATTTATCTATCTAAGAGATCCCTGTGAAGGAGAGAGCTGTTGGAGACTGAGGATCAGTACTGAAATTAAACGCTCAAATAAAGAACTTGTATGTTCAGATCTAAATTCTCTAATTAAAAATAAAAATACTCAGTTCTTCCACAAAAGCACCGTTGTGAGTTCCATAGTTGTATGAATATGATAAAAGCAAATGTCAGTATTTTTTTGTGCTGGTATTAGGCAATAAGAACCTGTATTCAATTATAGTTGCCAAAGGTAATTGACAAAATGTACTCTCAAGAAGATAAAATCACAGCATGAGCAGGAACTTGTATTTTTCCATCTTGAGCTTTCCTCCTGAAAAACACCTGGGCACATCCACTGCAGATCACTGAATGTGAATATCACCTGGAAAATCCCACAGGGCCAGTATAGAAAAAATTCATTTTGGAGGAAAGCAGGCAAGGAGAAAGGACAGCATTATCTTGCACTACAGTGATACTGCTTCTGTGCTCAGATTCTGAAGGGGATTCTGCCTCTGAGAGCAATTCTTTCTTCAGGCCACCATAAAATTGCAACCAGTGGGACTCTTTTCTTTACAGAGACCTGGCTGAGAGTGAAAATGTTTAGGTCCCAGAAGCCTGATGTTAATATGGTAGAGGATGTTTGACTTAGCAGGAGAATCTTACTTCAGCAGTGCAAGAAAATGTCTTGCACATTATTTCAATTGAATGATTAAATTTTTATAGTAATAAACTATGGACACAAACAATTAGGAATGGTGAACCTCTGTAGATAAAACCAGCATACAGAGCAACTAAATTTTTTTAATTATAATTATCACATTTCAAGGATTCACTGAGAAATTTACAACCAACACTTAATAAAGGAATTCAGATACATGGTACATAAGCAAAGTCACATAATTCTAGCTTTCAGTAATTTTCTTTGCATGCAATTTAAATATTGCATAGAACTTTGAATATTTTCTTTTAACCAGCTTACTTTTTTTTTTTTGGTGACAGCCAAAATGGTAAAATCAGCAGCTGATTCTGTTTTGTTCACTTCTGTCATCTGCTTAAATTTCTTTTTTTTTAAAGAGACAATAGTTCTACTGCGGCTTATATTTTACTCAAGCATAAGGTGTTTGTTGCAACTTGCTGATTAAAAAATTAATTTATTTTTTCAAAACAGATTATTTCTGTTCATCGTAACTCTCAATTGCATCTGACATAAAAAAAATAAATAAAAAATATTCACTTTAACTCTGCTGTTGCAAGTTATCAGGTTACAACCTACAGGGGGAAAAAAAATAGTATTTGAATGTGAACTGTTTTGCTTTCTTTTCAAAGTCCAAAGTTCAGTTGCGCATAAAACAAGGGCAAGTATCAGGGGCATAATAAAGTTAATTAATGATTAAACAGAAGAAACAGGAAAAGTTTTAAATAACAACGTGTGTTCAAAGCAGAAGAGTAGTTTGTCAAAGTAAGCAAGTGAGATAGCACTCTTAAGCTGCTGAATTATAATAGTTCGCATTAAATATTGAAGGCATTGAGGTAGAAAACTGCCCTGATTGTAGAAACAATGTATTAAGTGATCTAATGGACCTTAAGAACCTCTTGCTCTATAAACAAATGAATTTCCCTAAATTTCACAATTAGTAAAAGGTCTCTCACCTACAAACCAAGTTTATTTTTCAAAATAAGGAACAATTATTTCCTTACTACATGATGGTTGCCTACTGTATTGAAGAAAAGCAAAGATCAAGACAACTACATTAATCATTAAGAGCACAGTGTTCCATTGCCATCACAGAGAGCTAAAAGCATTATTTAAAAAAATGAAACAAATGTGCAACTTATGTCAACCCTGGCTCATTACTCGCTAGGTAGCGTAAGGGATTATTTTCCTTGAACACTTTTCCTACGATAGAAATTTGATAACACATTTGGCCTAGACCTCCCCTTCAAATCAGCTCGTAAGGCCCCAACATATTAATTATGAATCAAAAGCTGAAAAACACTTCAAGATCCAATATAATTGTCTGACATTTTCATTAACAGCCTCCATACTTAGTTTGACCAAAACTAGCTTGTAAAATGAACAGAATGTTTACACACTGCAAAATGTTTATAATACATTTTGACTAATTTTGATAAAACGTGTTTTTAAACAAGAATATTTTTTTTTTAGCTGAAGACAAAAAGTAAGATTTGAATTTCTTAGCATGTATACAGAAATCTTCCATAAGGTTATTTCTGATTTTCATTTAAATTAACACATTTTAAAAGTTAAAAAAAAAAATAAAAATTGTTATGAACTGCCAAATCAAGTCAAAATAAATAGAATTCACTTTAAAAAAAAAAAAACAATAGAAGAGTTGCTTTGTTTTGTTATTTTGTTATTTTTACAGAAAACTTGACAAACATCAGATTAAACAGTGTGGTAAGCTTGCAGCCTGTTATATTGTAATAAAATTACTCTAGTGTTGACAACTGCTTGGTTGTACATATTTCTTTATGAATCCTGTTTAAAAGTGTATTTATTGCATTAGTTATTAATGTTTTGGTATGAACAGTTATTTTTTTCATTTCCATTGGTCATGGAAATAGTAACAGGTTCAGCTTTGTTTTTAGACATGCTTTGGTTAAAGGTACTGGAAATAGTTCAGAAGATGGATAAGATATTACTGATTTGGCCATACTTTCATTAGGTATGAAATTGAATTTACCTTTCAATTACATATTTCTTACACAACAGATTTTGGACACAAAAGTTATATAAGAATCTGGCATCGCTTTGTGTTATTGAGCATGGAAATTTAGGTCGTGGTGTGGTTACTATATTATCTCAGCAAAATCTTCTGGTTTTGGAAGCAAGACAATTTTGAGTATTTTCTGCTTAAAGCAGTAACAAATACTTGTTACAAGTAGTTTTCAGAGCTCCTCTGAGGCACATGCAAGTACTGCTCTCCCAGCCTGGCCAGTAGATGCTTTAATCACAGTTAAGTGGATTGCAGCAAGTTAGCAGCAAACCTGACAAAAAGTATGAATAGGCCTTTCACTCTAACATATTCACTAGCTTTTTTTCTATTATGCTCTCTGATCAGTTTTTAAACATCTACTTGTGAATTCACGTGGATATAAACCACAATGAAAGAAACATAGTTTGATAAGAAATTAAACACTGAATCGAAATCACAGTTGCAGATAATTAACCTACCTCTGTGAAGAAGACGTATATGAGCTCAAATTAAAGGTTTTGCGATTCTGGAACAAAAATTCCCAGGCTGTGGGAAATAAAATAAAACAGTTAATGTACAGCTCACACCTTCTCATTTCCAGTTGCTAAACTCCAATGAAAGAATTCTTAAATGCTTCAATCACTCACTCCCCAGTATTAGATGTACATATAGTAGGTATAACACTACAAATATCTACTGCATCTAAAAGTTTAAATATCAATAGATGTAACAACACTGGACTTACGTGTAACACCTCACATATACACAGTCATGATATTGTAGACCATGTTACAACTGTAGGTAATTTGTAAGATTTGGGTGGCAAACAGGAAACAGGGTGGCAGGGGAAAAATCTGCAGGGTAGAAAATGGAATAAAAGATCTTTAATAATGTCCTTACATTAAAGTAGCCTGCAGTGTGAGCAGACAGGAAAACAGGATGAGTTTGCAATTTTGAGTCATTTGACTTTCTACTGTTTCATAAACTGACTACAAGCTACAGAACTTTTGGTCTTTAAACACACAACTGGTAGTCTTGCCTTGATTGGATATCTTGTCAAATTGATTAATTCAGTCAGAACTAAAAAGAATTATGTGAAATAAAATTATGACACGCTATCTTCTTGGTTGTATCTTTCAGAAAATACACGTGAAAAGTATTTGTCTCCAGTACCAACTGTATCTACTTTTGAACAGCCACTTCTTTTGCCTTTTAAAGAATAAGACTGGACTAACCATCTTCTTCCTATGGTAACTATAAAGTAAATATTAATGAGACAGTAAATACAAATTATCTAGTTTTTACTATTACAGCTGTTATTTGTAATGGCTTGCAATTGCTTCCTTTCCTGCCTTGCTAAGCAGTCCTAGAGTTCTCTTTAGGCTATGGTCCCTTGCTTTATTCTTTTTTTTTTCTCTGATCAGGCTCCATCCAGTTCATGTCTCTCAGCCTTTATCTCCATGATATTCCTCAAGTTGTTTGAACTGTTGCATTTGAAGACTTCCATATTCCTTTGCAGTGAAAAAAAAACAGCATGCACATGTTTAAATATGTATGCTGGTTTATATAGATATTAGGTATTTGCTTCCATTCTGATTCCACTTTCCTGTCTTAGAAAACCAACCCCGATTCTAGTGCCAGCATCCCCTACTTGTTCTCTCCTTGTCAAATCTCTTTACTAAGGTCTAACTTTCCAGCTCTGTTTTCCAGGAAGGAAAAATCAGGGCTAAGTGTCCTCTGGTTCTTGTTATAATACCTCTTTTATTTTTCTTTCCCAAAAACCTTGTTATCTTTCAGCCTTTGTTTAAGGCCTAAATGGTGAACAGCTGCTTGTTTCATACTAACTTCCAAATCAATTTGTTGTCTTCCTTTCATTGCCTTACAGAAATACAGAAATACTGAAAGGGATCCAAATGAAGGGTCAAAGTGGGGACACACTAAAATCACGGTTCACAGTGCAATAATCTTCCAGAGGAGAAAGAAACCTACTTTCTATCCTTTAATGGTTCGCTCCATGCAGAATTTTATTCAGGGCAGGAGGAGTCTTTTCAGTACACAAAAATATTAGATGTAAAATGACATACAATATTTCTACAGGGCTAAAGACAGAAATTTCAAAGTAGGGAAGGAAAAATAATTCAGTGTAAGATGAAATTTGTTATTTTTTGGGATACATGGAAAGAATTGTAGGTAACTTACAAGAAATAATTGACTCTTGCATTGTCTTACAAAATTAGCTTAAAACACACACACACACAAAACACCCTTGTCTGTTTAAACAGTGTGGCTCTGTGATTTTACAAGTTGTCAAATGTACTTGCTCCACACATTAACATATGTATACATATTTTTATTATCTGGTTGAATGATTGGTAAGTTTTTTCTCAGCATAAACAATGTGTATGTCTACTATTTAGCCTAGTAATCACTGTTTTTCTTCTAGTGCTTACGTACCAAACACAGAAGCAAATCACTGTAAGTGGTCAGAAGTTCTGAAAGATTTGGAGCAGATCAAGACATCTGAAGTAAGTTCAAAAGAAGTCACTATTTCATAAGATCATAGGAGCAGACATAACTACACGTTCAGCTGTTTAGCACAGTACTCAGTTAAGAGAGTCAGCGACAAGGAGTATGAAGTAGGATATTGTTTGTGTAGTCATTTAGGGAATAGAAAGCTAAAGGGAACTGGAGATGAAGCTCTTTTTTTTTTTTTTTTTTTTTCTTCCAGAATTTCTTTAATTGGATAAAGCAAAAAGAAAGGGGCAGAGGGCATGGGAGTCAGCCCATTCTGCAGGTTACTAGGTCACCTAGGTCACTTTCAGATCACTGTCTCACTGTGTTCCAGTACCTGGATTAATTGACCTGTTGAACTTGAATCCATGGCTCTAGTGTTTACTTCTAAGCCTGTTATTGTTCATAATTACAACTCTTGTTTCCTTTTAGGACATTGATGTCAGTTTATATACTGCTAACACAGACGAGGATGTAAGTATAATTAAAATTGGACTCAAACTGGTCTAATACGGTAACTTAATTTCTTTACTAGCAATTTTTCCAAAGGTAGACTTGCACTCATTTGAGAAAAGTTTCAGAAACCAAATCATTTGCCTTGGAAGGCAGAATTCTGCAGATTAATTTACTTATGATAAATTATGTAAGCTGGTATTAAATAATTTTACTGAAGTAGCTGCTATTCAAATTATTCAACTAATAGGGATGGTCTAAAATGATCTTATCAAAGCAAACACTGAAAAATAATGTTGCTACTCATTTGTAATTGGAGAAACTGAAGGAGTGACAGAGAAAATACCTCCTAAGATTATTATTTAACAGCATGCACTAGAATTCTATAATAAGAAAAGAAGTTACTTACTGGAGAAATGCAATATGGAAAGGAACTGTGAACATCTGCCAGTGCAGTTTTCTGCTTTTACAGCCTAGAAACAAATAATATGTAATATCAAGGATTTAGCCTTGTAATTGATGGAGATTATGATTCATCCTACAAAAAATAAATTCATTTTTAATAAAATTGTTAACTAAGTTGTGGCTTCCATAAACTCATTCCTGAAGAGACTTTTCCATAATCTACTGTGGAATTCAGTCTTTATTCTATGCAATCCTCTAAGAACATGAATCCAACCAATAACCTCCTCTTAGCCATTACTTTTAGCATGGCCCTGGTGCAACATGAGCTGGGTTCACTGTTGTAGCGAAGTTGGCAGTAGCCTGCTCCTGAGACAGCCTCCTCCTGACAGCATAAACACAATGACTGTGCCAAACGCACACAATACATGATTCCTGTACACAGACTTAATGAGATTTCCTAGAAATAGCGGACTTACTGTATCTGTGCAAAATAATCTCAGTGTGCATGCAGAATATAGTAACACTGATGCATTCAGTGGACCTAAAACGCCTGAGAAAGCAGACCCTGATGTATTCGTGGAGTTAGCCCTGTACACAATAGGAAAAAAAGGTGCAGAACATACACATCCATACTCACACACCCATTCCCGTGACTGAAACGAGCTACTGAAGTTAATACATTATAAAGGCCAATTTCTTAGCTGGTAATGTCAGGAAGACTTTCTTAAAGTGGAAAGGCTTGATGTGAAAATCAGACAACCTGGAGCTTGTTTTTTTTTTTTATTGACTTGGTGAAAAAAAATGGTACTTTTGTGCCATTGGGTTTTCGGGTTTTTTTTGTTATTTTTAAAATACGGGCATATATCCACTTCTTTTTTCTCCTCCACTCTCCATTATTCTGAATAATGATCTCTCAATATAAGTGCTAGAACTACTAAGAATATTAATTTAATTCCATTAGCGTTAATTCCTTCTCATATTCCTATCCTAATTATTATTTTCCTGAGTTCTTCGTCAAGACATAGTGCTTCACTTTGTTGCAGGAAATTGGCTGGCCTGTGTGTCATATATTAGCTCTTAGTTAATTTTTGCAGATATTTAAAAGTATTTGAATACTAATAACAGATACTAAGTAAATAAAAATCACCACTTTCTGGTAAATTATATCCCACATTCACTTATCCCATTTTAATCTTAAAACAGCTACAACTTCCTTTTATTTATTTTTTTTCCAGAAAGAATGCCAGGAACCCGTAATGAGATGCTTTTTTTTAGAGATGAAAGTGATTCTTCATGAATGTAATATCAAAAAATGTAGCAGAACACAGGATGTATTCAACATCTGGAAAAATGGAAATGCGCGATTTGAAACTAACCAGGTAAGTAAAACCAAAAGTCTGTGGATAAAATGGAAATGAGAATAGTTTCTTCCAAATCAGAAATTCAGTTTCTCATAGATTTGGAAGAGGCAAGATGGTATATATATGAAAGCAAAGGGTAATCAACCAGTAGCCCATGCACATAATACTGAGAAAATTACACACATAAAAAGGATAGAGCAGTATTTGGTGATTGTAGAAAAACACTCCCAGGACTCACATCAAAGAAAATACTTGTGACATGCAGACGTAAATGTTTGAATGTGTATATATAAATAATAGTTTGTAACTTCAATATCTAAACTTGAGTATGTTTACTGGCAAATAAAGAAGTGTCCCGATTTTCAAAGGGATTGGCGACTTAAACCTCTCTCTGAAGCACTGTATCCTTGAAAGGTGATCCTATTCAGGAATCAAGCCAGGAACAAAACATGAATACCTTAGAAGACTCCAGCTGTGCTTTCTGTATCAATTGACTGTGTTGTAACTATGGACAAAAACAGAATTAAAAGGGTTAGTTCTCTATCAGAGCATATAGACAAAGTATCTTGTTTTACTGTTGCATTTTCTTTTTCAGTTGAATTCCACAACATCAAAAAAATGCAAAGAATGTGAAGAATATGAAGAGAAAAATTTTACAGAATTTATACAGAGTTTTGTGAAGGTTATACAGAAGGAATGCAAATAATACCATGACCAAAATAAACAAACTGGGAACAATGACTGTTCAAGAAACATACCTCAGATAAATTAGATTGTCAATAACACTGGACTAAAAAGAACTTCACTTCTAGTCCTATTTGCTCAGAATAAAAAAAACAAAGAATAATACAATATCTTTAATGTGTGATGTTTTCAAAACTGCATACATACAAATGATAGCAAATTTGAAGTAAAAAATAAAGGAATTTAACATTTTTTTCCCCTGGATGTAAGCTGTTTTTATTTCCTAGTAAGTCCACTGAAGAAAAAATATGTCCAACTTACTAAGCTTTCAGTGAAATTTTTTGAAGATGTTCTAAGGACATCCACAGTGGGAACTTCTCTGTAAAAATCAATTCAGAGCTGACTGAATGGAGTTTCGGAGAAAAGCTCTTCTTTTATTATTATAGTATAGAATTATCCCTATTAAAGCAACTGGCAGTAGTTGTTATTTTTTATCTGAAATTCATTATTTTGAAGTCTGGGTCCCCAGAAATTCATCCCCTGCTCTTTTGTTATGTCTGCCGTGTCCAACAATTTTCTTTGCTTTTTTTTTTTTAATATAAATATAAAAATAAGCTGAGGTCTACTTGTCTTACATGTCCATTGGCTCTCTCGTATCCATTTCACCACTGTTTTCAGCTAAACCCAGACAGCTGTTCTACCTAGGACTTCAAAGTCCAAAATCAGAGTATTTATTTGAAGATTTTTCCTTACCTGTTTTTATCTTTTGTATGAAAAGAACTCTGATATTCTCAACAGAAAGTAATGCCCGTGCTTGGTTCTGTTGTTCAATGATAAAACACACTCCATTTGCTCATCATCATCATCATCATTATTTTTACCTCTGACACGCTCACTCATTATTGGATGCCTACCTGTGCGACCTGCTGTAGGGAACCTGCTTTGGCAGGGGGGTTGGACTCAATGATCTCTGGAGGTCCCTTCCAACCCCTACAATTCTGTGATTCTGTGATTATTGTAATACTACAGTTTCTTCAGCAATTACCAAAAATTTAAATCCAACTTCTAACCAAAACGGAGGAGCATAAATTTCATAGTCTGTATTCAGAAGACTATGATCATGATAATTATATTTTACGGTGTCCATATGACAGGACTGAACGCAAAGTCACCTGTCATTTGCTGCTCTGAAACGCTGAATATTTAGCCTTCAGCTCCTATGTTAACAACTTATTTCCTGGTTCATAACCATATCATATCAACCACTCTCCACTATAAGCAGTTCTCTCCTCCAGGCACCTCCAATTCCCCATCTTCATTTGATAAATGACCAAGTCACTCAACTGTACGCTTACCAGAAACTAAGTCTCAATCTCATTAAGGCAACAATTACACTGCTTGTTACGCCCTTATTGTAGAGTTACTCCCAAAAGTCAATCTCCACCACTTTGAGGAGCACCTTCCAGGCAACCTGTAAACTAACTAATAAGTAAATTCACAAGCACGTCAATATTAGGATTAAACACTGCCAGAGGTACTACAGAAGTCATCTTCAAATCATTTGGCACAGCAAGGAAGAAAGTGTTCATTACATAGTTTGGCTGAAGTAATCTGGTTCTATGTTTTAAATAGTTCCTTAAAACAATGACATGCATTTAATGTGATTTCACTGATGTCACACTAATAGACAAAATAATGTCTGGTAACAACTGTGGTATGGAATCAAAGACACAAAGGGATTTTTCTTATTTTTAGTTTTGAGGATGCTTGAGATACTGTCCAGCAGTGTTTATGATGGGACAAACAATATGATTCAATATTATTCAGTTTTTGTAAATCGCTTATCAGTATCAAGTTAAACATTATGAACTTGCCTTTCTGAAACACTACTGTTAAGTCTGCGACATGCTGTTGGCCACCTTCTGTTCAGCATAGGACAAATCGCTTTATTTCACTTCACCTCTTTGTGTTCAGATATTACGGAATTAAAAAATAACATTTGCTAGTTCAGTACTTCAGTATTTCTCCAGAGGCTTTCATTTTCCTAAGAACTATGCTGCCAGCTGGAAGTTTTACTGTGTTTGAAATGCTATGATGGTAAAAAAATCAATATAAAGAATGGAATAAATTAAGACCACATTAGGTTGGTGGATTTTTTTTTTGTTTGGATGGTTTATGTTTTGTTCTTCATTTTGTTTCTTTTTTTGGTTGGGAAATTTATACACAATCCAGAGAAACATATTCTATACAACTAGGACATGCATGCATCTGATCTGGCTTGTTGCAACTGAAAGAAGAACAGTAAAACCGAACCTAGGGTGTCTTCTTTCCAAGTAAACATTCCCAGGAAGAAGGAGGTATTTCCTCTGCACAAGTTCTTATCATGTCCGTGGCACTTAGGACCTAATGTTTTCCAACTACTCTTGGTTAATGGTAAGAAAAAGATTAATACTGTATTATCTCCAATTAATCCAACTTAGTTCAGGAAAAAGCGATTTGCAGCAGTGCATTTCTAGGTTTGGAAAGAAAAATAACTCTACCTTTTGACATGACAAAGGAAAAATAAGTTCTTCTGCAAAAGTTCTAGAGCACATAATTCTGTGTTATTGACTTACTTAGCAATAATTTATATCTTCTATATTTCTGCATCTTGACCTAGCATTTAATTCATTATTTTTGTATATATTTTAACAGGATAATGCAAGTAGTACTAGTACAACAAGAAATTCTGTACCTGTCCTCCTCTGTTGCTTTGTTTTATTGGACTCTGAACTGAACAAAAATATTAGTTTCTCATCAATAGAATATCACTTCCTGTACATCTGAATATTTGAGCTCCTGTTGGTCAGGTCCTCTGCAGATATCTTACGCAATGTCTGAAAGTCCTCACACTTATATAATAATCATTAGCTTCTTAAAACATAAAAGAGAATTCAAGCAATAATTTGTATGGCCCAGATTTTCTTTTTAGCTGTTTATCTACACAGCATGATCAGTAGATATCAGTTTCTGCAATGTCTTGCCATCTTCTGTAAATTCAGGGTATGGCATATCTTATCAATTTCATTTCCACTGTATACATTTGGTCCTTAGAAGTAGCATCTGAGTTTCCACACAACTTTTAATTTAAAATTCAAGTCAGTTCAATTTCTAAGATTACACAGTGATTTAATTAAGCTAGCATTATGACATATTCACTGCTGAGTCCACTGAAGGAATACTCTCTTCTGAAGTAAGCATTTGCCTACTAGCTGGCCCTTTCACAGATACTTAGTTTCATGGATGCATACATCTATAATAAATAATCATTATCCGGAGGCATTGGTTCATTTGTTCCTTCTTTAACCAAGGTGATGCTGTTTCAATGGGCAAGATGCCCTCAGTGAGAAGCTTGTAATGGGTTCACCTGACAGTAGCCATGGGCAACAGCCATCTCAAGAGCCAGCAAAAGCTGCTTTTCCCTGGCAGAAACAGGTGACTCACTATTTGACCTGAGTGACAGTATGAATCTCCAGTCAAATTTCCTTTTGAGGGGTCCGTGTAAGTGATTGCCGATGCTTGTTCAAATGAGATCTTTCTGAAAGCCAGGAGCATGAATGGTAGTGGAAAAAGGCAAATTCTGAATAGCAGCTACCTCTCCTGCTGGGAGCTTTACTATTCTTAGCAAAACGTAACTCTGAAAAGTGGATTCTTTACCTACAATGCAGTAGCTGGCGTGTGCTCTGTAGAAATTTCAGGTTATCTATCTTAGTTTGTACAGCTATGTGAGAAAAACCCTGTTAGGAACATACATCAAGATCCACTTCCCACATGGCAAAAGTTTAAAGAGACAATTAAATACGCAAAGAAGTATGCAAAGAGCTTCTCTAGAGGCAAAGAAACAAATTTAGATACTGTGCTCTCTTTGGAGTGTTACTTGTGCAGATTATGAGGGAAAGGGTTAATTCAAGTTTTTTGCAATAAAAATAACAGCCTCTCTAAACTGTTCCTTACTAGTTATTTTCCTCCAAAATCTACATACGCTGGAGAAGAATTATCATCTTCTTGCCAAAAGGCTTACTTAGACCAATAGCCAACAACTTAAGATTTAATGCATTAAACCTATTAATACCTTGCCCTTTTCTGAATGTTGTTATTAGAGGTGATATCTTCATTTACAAAACAAACTGATCAGGAATCATTCGGATTTCTAAAAATATAGAAAATATATGAGAACAATAAAGAAGAAAATATCTGCTCAAATGACTGAGTCATCTGTATCATGGCATAGGCAAGCCACTAGCTCCAAAAGTGAAAAACTTCTAGTATAAGGAATGAAGTCAGAACATAAGCAGAAGTCAAGTGGATTTCTGGGAAATTTCTTGAGAGATAACAGAGGATAAATAAGCTTTTTTTTTTTTTTTTTTTTTTTTTTTTTTTTTACCTTAGCATATAAGTGAATAACTACCCTGGTTCTCTTATCTCTGAATCTAAACCAGATTTTTCAGAAATTAAAAACTGGGTAATGGCTTTAAAGCCTCAGATAGATGTTCAATGTGGAGAGAAGCATTTGAAGAAATGTCACGAGTCTAAGGTTTGGGGCAAAACCTATAGAATATCATCTTGTGAAGCAAAGAAATGAACTGATGTGTGTGCCTTCATCCTCCATTTGGAGTCCATTTGGAGTCCATCTGTAGTAACAAACGTGCATCAGAAACATCATGAAAAGCTGATGAGATTTATAACTTATTCACTGATACTTCTAGACACAGATACTTTTGACTCCTCTTTCTAAACTTCCAGCTACATCCTTCCAAGTCTATAAATCACGACCAAAAAGCCCATTCCTTCATAACAAGGTGTACCATATGTTGAAACCAGAGCCTTCTGTCTTCCTGCCTATATACGTGTAAAATTTCAACTGCAAACCGTCTTGGTAACTGCATTCTCTAACTAAAGGTACTCTAAGACCAACATCACCACCACCACTGACAAAACCCTAAGGAGTTCAGTAATAAAAGAACAGCAGAGAGCCATTTCCTTGGCTGAATATCATGTCCATGAATGCTGAGATAATAAACCTCAAGCTTCTGAGAAGCAGGGAGTATGAATTAAGGAGTACATGCATCCAGACACTGCTTTTAACAGTCACCTGAGCCATGAATTCGCTTGTTTATGAATGACTTAAAAGAAGATATGCACATGGTGTATGTACTTATTTTACAGACCTGTTCTACTTAAGGATCTTACACTTTATTTTCCTCTGATTAAACATACAGAGATCA